CTTACAATATTTTATGTTTATGCTTGTTAGTTAGTCTTGGACTTTTGTAGTTGACTCTTCGTCTATTTGGGAGCTAAACCACGGGATGTGCTCTACTGTTGGCGGTCCAAAAGATCTAACGTCACAGAAGTGATTATCAGTCTCTAATTTTCTCTAAAAAAGGAAAAAACTGTCGAGGGTTCCCTCTCTTTGAGATATGATCCCTTTACGCATAGCATTCGAGCTCGGACGGTCGTACTACCAAAAGGCTATGTCTCAGGGGGCGAAACTTTCGCTTGGTCATACGCGTATGGAGGTATTTTCGAGGGGCATAGTTCCAATAGTAACAGTTGGAGAGAATCGAACTTAAGACCTCAAGGAGTCATGCAAGATCCTCTGACCAGCTAGGCTGGCTCCAATTGTTTTTGTTCTTTTATTTGTTCTACACTGCTTTGAGCAACTTTAATAGAAGAATTTGAATTTTGAAGAGGTTTAGGGCGCGATTAAATATGAGACAAAATCAATTTTAACCAGTAATTTAGGATAAGATTGGTAAGTAGTTATAATTAGTCATAATCGATCAGAATTTTTTTTTACTCATTTTAACTCAAATTAAATTAACTCCACTATCCTAAATATTATCAATATATTTAAATAATATTAATCATCTATCGCCTAATTATATCAACTTTAAATCACTATTTATCCACTCACATATTTTTAATTACATATCTCTCTACTACTTTTACACCATATCAATTTTATATATTATTTAATTACAATCTCTCTCATCTCACTCAATTGACATTATTAAAAATAACACACTTTAACTGAGGATCTAATCAAAATCGATTTTTACTATTTATGACTTACCAATCACCCCCTTTTATATATTCTAAGGGCTCATTTACCTCCTGGCATAACTTTATCTTATGATACAACCCGCTACTGTTCAATTATTTATATCATATGTTTACAAGCTGTGATAGAGCATTGACAAAGTGTTTGGTTATTTAAACTTGTGTTTCTTTGTTGGTATTTAAATAAATCAGTACGACCACTATGACCATTTTGCCCTAGCACTCCTTAAATTAAAGGGTTATGCGCTCTATCGAATCTGGGTTGTGGCTGTATGACAATCATTGCACTTGTTCACAATTGTATAGAATCATTTATTAAAATAATTCTATTATTTTAAATAACTTGTAACTAAATTTAAATAAAATAACTTAACGTACATCGGAGGCGGTGAGTTTGTCAAGGCACCGACAGAGAGAGGTGAGACGCTCGTCTGACCTCTGCGTCACCGCTACGCACACGAGCGAGATCGTGCGACACAGTCAGGACCGATGGCCAGACGCTCTGTCTGGGGTTGGAAGTAGGGGAAGTACTCATATATCCAGGACTGTAGAAGAGTCAAGCAGCCAGACAGTCCCTGTGCGTCCCCCCTGCTGGCAATACCTAACTGTCTGTACAGGTAAACTAGTGCAGCCGAGCCCCATGAGTTTGGGACTCACCCTGCTACCACTATTGTCAACGAACAAGGTGGTAGCTAGCAGCACCCACATCCAGGCTCTACCCTCATCCACAGGCAACCGGCCTTTCCCCCTAAAGTGTTCCACAATGGCGGCTTCTGCACACCGAACCAAACTGCCAGAACGACCCCATGAGGTCAGCCTTCGTGATCAAAAGTATATCCATGCAGTACACCTGATAGGCATCTGTGTCCGGGTCCTTAGTGACCATGACTCCCTCCACATGAACCCCTAAAATGGCCCGAACATCGTGCAGTATGATACTCATTTCACCAAAAGGCAGGTGAAACGAGTTACTATATGGTTGCCAGCGCTCCACAAGTGCAAAAATAAGTGGAGTGTCCAGGTGGCCGTGCATGGAGTCCACCAGATGTGACAGCCCGATCTGACCTATCAGATTTTTTGCGTCTGCAGGCAAATCAGAGAGCTAATTTCTCAGATTGTCGAGCGCTCTGTCTGTTATTGCATTTCAGCATGCCTCTAAGTTGTCCAGTCCATACGGGAGACTACGTGCCGTAGAAAGCTGAGGATGACACTCCTATCAATGGCCCCACTGGGCATTGGGCCTCTAACGATCCAGCTATCATCAATTTGAGTCCTAGATTGTTTGCTAGTACCTGCATTAGAAGGAAGAACATATATATAACACATATTGTGACTGACTGTACCAATGATATGCTATTATTAAATCAAAATATGTAATGGTGAACAACAATAAGTACCTAAATTATTTACCTGAGGATCCAGTATCCGTAAAATGCCCTCTAGTCTGTCGTTGGGGTGCAGGACTTGTAGGTCGTGCAACAGGCTGTTGTGTGGGGGGAGGAGAAGGAATAGCGTTCTCCTCATATGCAGAGTCATAGTCGTCAGACTCATATGAAGACTGCAGCGTCTGAGCATTCGGCTGCTCATAATAATATCCCTGCTGACTAATCGGTACCTAAGCGAGAGGTCTCGAACTACCAGGAGTGAATAAGCAGGACTGCTCACACATCTGTACTGGAGCGGGGGGTCTCGAACTGTTAGCATGGCCAGCATGACCAGTCTGTCTCATGCGAGCCTCATAGATCCTCTCCTCCCTCTTTCGACTAGCGAAAGCATCTACATACTGACTTCTCGTGTGTCGTGGTCCGAAACCATAAAACTCAGCGATCTCTTCTTCCGTGGCATATCGCTGACGTCCACCCGAACGCTAAATCAACAATTTAAAATAATAATTAGTAAACACCATTTTTGAATTCATATATTTTATTAATTATCATAAGATATATGCAATTAACTATTTATTAATAATATTTACACAAACTGATTATATATAATATATTTATTAATTATAAATAACATTTATTATTGACTATTACACTATAGTTTATCTAAATTAACCTAAACTAAAAGATTAAGTAAATTTTATTTTTAATATATTTTTTAACCTAAATTAAGTGAATATTATTTTTAAATTTTTTAACCTAAACAACTGAATTTTATTTTAATATATATATTAATACAACTAATTAATATATATTAAATTTGAAATTATTTAATTAATTATATTTTTATAATTAATAAATTATATTTTTATAATTATATATATATTTTATAGTTATATTATATATATATACAACTAATTATATTTTTTCATATTTATTTAATTAATTATAAAAATATAATTATTAAATAATTTAAAACTAGAAAAAAAATTACCGTCCGGCCGTCTGTGGCCGAACGTATGACCGGCCGACGGGGCCGGT